AATGTATATAAAATAGACCAAACCCGGATATAAGAGACTTCTTCTCCAGTCCCGACAACTCTCTTATATCCGGGTTACACTATATATATATATATATATATGATTTTGAATTTGTATATGATGAATTGGATCGTATTTACGATTCCAATGGAATAAATTATGACCATGGAATATTAGTGTTTAAGATTATATATATATATATATATATATATATATATATATATAGTGTAACCCGGATATAAGAGACCCGGATATAAGAGACCCGGATATAAGAGATACAAGAGATTTTCTCTGGTCCCTAATTAGAGCCTGTGTTAATGTATATAAAATAGAGCAAACCCGGATATAAGAGAAACCCGGATATAAGAGACTTCTTCTCCGGTCCCGACAACTCTCTTATATCCGGGTTATATATATATATATATATATATAGTGTAACCCGGATATAAGAGACCCGGATACAAGAGAAACCCGGATATAAGAGAGATTTTCTCTGGTCCCTAATTAGAGCCTGTGTTAATGTATATAAAATAGAGCAAAACCGGATATAAGAGAAATCCGGATATAAGAGACTTCTTCTCCGATCCCGACAACTCTCTTATATCCGGGTTACACTATATATATATATATATATATATATATATATATAGTGTAACCGGGATATAAGATATAAGAGACCCGGATATAAGAGAAACCCGGATACAAAAGAGATTTTCTCTGGTCCCTAATTAGAGCCTGTGTTAATGTATATAAAATAGACCAAACCCGGATATAAGAGACTTCTTCTCCAGTCCCGACAACTCTCTTATATCCGGGTTACTATATATATATATATATATATATATGATTTTGAATTTGTAGGTCTGATGATTTGGATCGTATTTACGATTCCAATGGAATAAATTATGACCATGGAATATTAGTGTTTAAGCCTTTTTTATTATATATATATATATATATATATATATATATATATATAGTGTAACCCGGATATAAGAGACCCGGATATAAGAGACCCGGATATAAGAGAAACCCGGATACAAGAGAGATTTTCTCTGGTCCCTAATTAGAGCCTGTGTTAATGTATATAAAATAGACCAAACCCGGATATAAGAGAAACCCGGATATAAGAGACTTCTTCTCCGGTCCCGACAACTCTCTTACATCCGGGTTACACTGTATGTTATTTCTTTTATTTCACATAGAACAATACTACATCAATATTGCAATCACAAATATTCATATTGTATTGCATTCATCCTTTCTTGTTATTTTAGTCGTTACTTAATAACTAACAATGTTTCCTTGCAAGTGTTAAGTGAGGGCGGACTCCATATTCCACCCACCGCGCCACGTGCTCACACACATTCGCATCATACTTGCCATTTTAGAAGTAACTATTTTGATTCTTGAAGTCATTGCATTTGAATTAGCAATAACAGTGTTATATGCCGTGCTAATAGGAATATATAATTGACAAACACGGTGGATAAAAGAAGTAAAAGAATAAAGGCAAGTCGACGCAAGTCAATCCAGTAGTGAGTGCTACTATTGGAAGGTCAGTAGTTCTTGTGTAATTCTGATTCGTATTCATCAGATCCCAGCTAGACGATATTTACTAGCCTGGGGAAGAGGTAGGATGTGACACAAGGGCGTGTTAAATGTGGGTCAATCCGAGCCGGAAGCCCAAAACTTCCCCGTAGACCCTGTTTAAAACGGGGTAGCTGTTTCCCGAGACAAAATTCTGCTTTTCGATATAGCCTCGTCTGGGGATCCTCTCTACCAAGGGGTAGAGAGTTTGACCAGCACTGCTGGATAATATCTCAGCAGGATGGTATCTAGCAACTGCCACACGCAGTCACATGTGGCATAAGGCCGAATTTAATGTGGAGAACCCGAGCCAGTAGACGCATAAACGGGATCAGGTCTGTTTACTTCCCCGGACGAGATTCTGCCTTTCGGCATAGCCTCGTCCGATTTCCTCTCTGCCCGAAGCACAGCTGGAACAGATTCCAACTACTATATTTTTTAACCTCCTCAGGCGATCAGATGTGGGACAAGGCCGTGTCTAATGAGGGGCATCTGAGCTCGTGGGCTCAGCCAAAAATTCACGTATAACCCCTGTAAAACGAGCTCGGGTAGCTGTTTCCCGAGACGAGATTCTACCCTTCGGCATAGCCTCGTCTGTGGATCTTCTCTGCTCAGAGGGAGAGAGTTTGACCAGGGGCACCAAAAAAGATTTCTGCTAGAGTATCTAGCAACTGACCCACGCAGTTAAATGTGGCATAAAACCGAATTTAATGTGGGGTTCCCGAGCCCATATGGACCTCAAAAAATCCCCGTAGACCATGCATAACCGGAATCGGGTCAGTCTACCTCCCCGAACGAGACTCGTCCGGGTTCTTCTCTGCTCGAAGGCCCAGAGTTCGACCAGCACAACTGAAAAGATTTCAGCTGGAGTATTTAGAAATTGTCTCACGCAGTCACATGTGTTACAAGG